TTCTTTCTTTCTTTAATAAAGCCATTAAACTACAGGGTAAAACCAAGAACAACTTAGTAATGAAGAAACTACAAGTAATGTGAATTATTAGAGAGCAAAAAAAGCTGCATTTTTTACCTTTTTAATTCTTAGATATAACAAAGTATGTCCTGTGATATTTTTAGTAATATTCTAATAAAAGGATTTAGATGTTTTAGAAATAGTGGTGATGGTCGCAAAACATTCTGCATGTTATTAATGCTACTGAATCACATGCTTAAAAATGATTAAAATGTCAAGTTTTATGTTATATATATTATACCACATTTTTAAAACAAAAAATTAATATTTATGATTAAGTATAAAGTAAAATACTTCTGCAGTAGTAAAAGTAGGCTAGCATTTTAAATTGTAATTTAAAAAGCAGTGCCACCTGTGTTTTTTTTTTCTCTCATTTTTTCCTCCACATTTTTCTTCCTCCAGTTAAATTCATGTTACACTAAAGGACAAGTATTTTTACTAGCTATTTAGAAAATTAAAATGTATATAAGATGTCACAGTCCCCTTTGCAATAATGTGATATTTAAAAAAAAATCAAGATTTCCTCATCAAATAGTTTCTATGCTTTTAGTCCCACTTTCTAATTTAAAAATCTGTTGCTTCTTCTGAATCATGTAAATTCAAATTTACTGTGCCTTAAAAGTTTTCTGGAAAATCTATTACTTTCAGAAGTCATGTCTAATAGCATAAATCATGGGGGCAGTGTTTACAACTTTCTGACGAATTTTATCAGTACATCTGTCTCTTTTGGTAGCATTAAGCTATATCCTTCTCCAGTAGGAGAAAAACAAAAACAAAAACACCACCACCAACAAAGTGGTACTTCAATCATTTTGATTTCTAAATGCTTAAAGACTTAGAAAAAAAAAATCATAGTTTGATGTTGGCTGTGTTTAAATAGCACTTGATTTCTTTGTCAGCTTTTTCTATAAAGACTATTCAAAAATGGTTAAAGAAATGTTTTAAGTAAGACTGTGTTTCAGCAAAATGTGAATCATTGTTACATACATTTTTAAGTCATTAAAAATTTAGATCAAGAAAGTAGTTAGGTCCATGTTACAGAAAAAAAAAAAGTAGAGTTTATGAATTTGCCTGTGACCACATGACATCTTGACACAAGGACATTTTTGTTTTGCCATGAGCCTCAGCTTCTCCTCCACAAAGCCAATGAGTGATAGAAGCATGCGTGCTGTCTGGCACGTGGCAGTCACCGAAATAATTTAGATAGGCTCCCATCTCCAAATTTCTTCCCAATATAGTTGCTTAAAGGATTAAGTGAAACAATGTATTATAAGAGATTAGAACATAAAACTAGACAAACATTTATCAGGTGTCCTGGGACCTAACTTATGGCAAAGAGAATGGTACGTTGTAAGTGGGGGAAGGGCAGCAGGTTACTCAAGTGCCTTGGTCATACATCAAATGATTAAAATGATTCAGATGGTTAGAAGCAAGTCAAAAAGTTAGGCAACCTTTATCAGTTTGAGATGTGCCACCATCCAGAGTGATCATGATAATACTTTCAGTTTCTGGACTTTTATTTTAGATTTAAATTTTGAGCATATTTAATTTGCTATAATCACAAATTTCATAGCCTGTTTTCTCAAACTATAATTTCAATACACCCATGTGAATTAAAAATGTATTCCCCATAGAAATATAAATATCACTTTCAAATGGAAGTAAATAAGAATACTGGAGTCTACATGTAGAATGAAAACAAAAACAAAACAAAAAAATTCTACCCTACATATGAATTCCTAAACCATATCTATTTTATATACCATTTAACATTCTAGAATCATCATTACTTCTATAAAGGTGTCCACTCTATTCTTAAACTATATTTTTCTATAATTTTTTAAAAGATTTTATTTATTTATTTGACAGAGAGAGAGATCACAAGTAGGCAGAGAGGCAGGCAGAGAGAAAGAGGAAGGGAAGCAGGCTCTCTGCTGAGCAGAGAGCCCGAGCGGGGCTCTATTCCAGGACCCTGAGATCATGACGGAGCGGAAGGCAGAGGCTTTAACCCACTGAACCACCCAGGCACCCCTATAATTTTTTTTATAAATAAATCTTTCTAAATGAGCCATATGTTAAAAAGAAAAAAAAAAACACTAAAGTTAAAATGTGAAAATACTAGTTCAGTTCTGAGTATTAGGCCAAATTCCTCAATATCATGTCCAACACTGATTATCTTCTGGAATCTTGGCTATTATGAAATTTTTATCACAACTGCTTAATATGCTCAATAGGCTTTTTAATTTCCTTTTATTATTTTGACCCAATTTCCTTCTTTATTTTTTTTTTAACAAGTCTATTTCCCCTTCTTCATGTCAAACTACAACTGGAAAGTAGCTCACTCACTTATTTTAAACTTTACTTTTTCTCTTTTAAGATACCCAGTACAAAACATTCAAATGACCTTCTCTCTAATGTTTTGTCATTATAAGCTCTGGAAAGTGTTGGCTGATAGACCAAGAAACTCATTTTAGAAACTCCCATGACCTAGTTAAATGCTGTAATAGTGGGTAAAAGATTTCTGTCCTTGTCATATAAAGATAAGTTGACTCATATTTTAGAATTGTTCTTTTGTTCTTTTGAGTAACAGACATATTCTATAATTGTTGCCTAAAAAATAATGATCCTTTGCAGACGTTAAGATCGTACAGTAACAAGTCATACTAGCACAAAAAGAAATTTATTTAAAAAATATAACTCTGGCTTGGACAACAGAATTAACTGTGCTAGTACTCTGTAATTATCACACCTTACTTTTTTTCTCTCATTACATAATATTTACATGAGGGGTTATTAAATCATGTAAACGCTTGATGCGATTACCAGATGCTTTAGTGGAACAGGTGAACTTTAAAAGAATGCTTTCAGTACCATTTCTGGGAAGTAAAACTATTACAATGGCAAACAAAAGTGTTCTTCAGTAACTTCTAATCCTATCTCCATCAATAGAACTTTTTTTTGCCCAAGCAGAAACCAGTGTTTTCACTCCTGTCTTTAACTACATGACAGACTGAATGAATAACAGCACCCTCCTCACGCGCACCCCACCCCCCCCCCACCCCCCCCCCCCCCCGACCGCCCAGCCATGTCCTGATCCTGGGAATCTGTGAATGAGACTGATTTTGAACATATGATCAAGTTAAAGATCTTGAGAGGGAGAGATTATCCCGGGGGTACCTTAAAGGCAATCACAAATGTCCTTAGAAGAGGTAGGGAAAGGAAGATTAGACTTTAGCAGACAAAAGGATGTGACCACAAAAACAGAGGTTGGAGTGATGAAGCCAGGAGTGGGGAGCGGGGAGCCAGAAATGTCAGCAGCCTCTAAAAGTGGAAGAAGTTAGAATGGGATTCTCCTCTGGAGCCTTGGAAACGAACAAGCCCGACACACACTCTTTGATTTTAGCACCTTTAGACTCATTTTGGATTTCTGATCTTCAGGACTACAAAAGGATACATTTGTGTAGCTTCAGACTATTAACTTTGTTACAGCAGCTACAAGAAGTTAAAACAATCTGTACAAAGGAGGTTCAAATAAATGACCTCAAAGATCCTCCTAGGATTTGAGAGAACTGCTCTACACTGTTAGCTTTGTGGATTTTTATTTTTCAGCATTCTTCATAGGCATAACTTACGAAAAGTCATTTTTCATTAGTTATTCAGGATATAATATTCTTTGATTCTTTGTTGGAATCAGTCTCTTGAGTAAAGCATGTCATCATCAAGAGGCAGCAAACATTAGGGGAGATGTTTCTTTTAGTTTATTTTACGAAGCTGGAGGAAAATGTTATATTTTTAATTAACTTTCTATGTTTGAGTAGCCAATTCAATTAGAAATTCAAAACACGAGAATCTTGCAGAAATCAGCTGCCAGATTTATTAATCTATCTGAAAATAAAAACACAAGCGAACAAAAACTAAAATAAAAACAGAACTTAAAAAAAAAAAAAAGAAAAAGAAAAACCTTAGAATACATTTCCGAAGAGTTTATAATGCAATGTTTTGAACCCTTCTGTACTGGAAATATCCTTAATGTTGGCCAATTACTCATTTTGTTTTGTGAGTCACTACCTTAAGCAGAAAAAGTCTGTCCTTAAATATATAATTAATACCAGTTCTTCCTCTGATCCCTTAAGATAACTCATGGCAGAATTCTTTCCCAATGGGAAATTAGAATGAGAATTTTAAAAAGAAAAAAGAAAAAGGAAAAAAAGAAAAAGAGGGGGGGAAAAAAGAATCCTCAATACAATTTTATTTAGATGGTATTTTAAAGACCCACTTTTAATTTCTCCTTTAATTCCTTCAAATATGTTAATACTCTTTCCAATAAATCTTCAGTTGAATATTTTAAAATTTGTTTTTACTCTAAGTGCTGTAAATGGCCACATGAGCATAGTGGTGGGGAAAAGTTCTCATTTTTAAGGCATACTTATTAGCCCACAATGGGCCAAATGATATATAATGTATATGCAGAAACAATCATTGAAATCACAGGTTACATACATATGCTGAAATTAAAAATAGGCCTTTTTGTAGGATTAAATATGAGTAGTGTTGATTATGCATGTGGGTTTCCCAATAACTGTTCAATTTAGATACACGAGACGTGATCTGTGCCACGCTGGAAAACGGGTAGCCAGGAAATCATCTATCCACAATCTTTCCTGTGCTCATCAAGAAATGCTTTAATAGGTTCATTTTGGCTTTGTGTTTAGGATTTTTTTCTTAACATTTCACTCTACACTCTAGGTGCTTAAAAAATGTTGTTCCTCTGGGATATTGATGGATTGAGCAAAATTCAGGCTTCTTTTTTGAGTGGTTTAGCAAGCTATTCAAAGATATCATAACACCATTCACTTTTTTTTTTTCTGTCCTAGGTGAATGAGACAACTTATCTTGCTTTCAATATTTTCTCCAAATGCCAAACACGAACAAAACAAAAATCTTTGAAACTTTACATCTTTAAGTCTTCTTTCAAACAATCCAAACACATTTACACAAGTGTCCAAAACAAGATGAATATCAGTGCCAGCACTATGTCATACAGCAACTTCCTTGGAGTCTTTGACAATTTGTAAATAATTTTCTATTTCACCAAAAGTTACAAAAGTTTCCACAGTTTCCCTTAGCAAGCTGAAGCTTACTCTTCATTTGTCAATGTGCATTAAAGCTGCTTAGAGCATAGCATGGCGTAAGCTATTTTTTAAGCAATAAATGGTTTGAGTCATCTATTTTGTCCTGAAATGCTATCTGTAGTTAACTGCATTGCTTATAAATGGTCATAGTAAATTCAGCATGAAAGAGAATATTACAGAAAAGACAGCAGCAGAAGCATTAGCATTATCTAATATTTATATATGTTATCAACATAACACAGCAGTAAAAGGTTTAAATGCATATCAACGGGTACCATGTCTAAAAATTACTATAGTACCTATTTAGTGTATTGGATATTTTTCTTAAGGAGTGCTTGCTGTATCTAGAACAGCGTAATATGTGATTTAGTACAGTTAATTCTTATCGATTAAATAATGTTTCTTTATGTACTGAAGGAAGTGAGATATATTTTTTTTTTTGCTTCATTGTGATCCCAGATTTAACATTTAAATGAAGATCTCAAAGGACCATGACATATCATTATTTAACTGAAATGGGCTTCAAAATACTTAAACGACAGTATGATATGTGTCTGAACAGCAAGGTGGCACCAGGTACACGGAATGCTACTGGCCTGTGACTCAGTTTGGAGCCAGAGTCCAAAATTTGTGCCCCTCATTTACAGTCATGGTGATCACTCAACTTCAGAGAGAAAGACCCATTTTATGGTTATCCTCTGTGAGTCGGATAGAAAGCAAAACAAAACAAAAAACAGCAAATGCGATCTCTAAATACCTTTTTACAACAGGTGCAAAACCAGTCATTTCTAACAATTAAATTGCCATTTACAGTAGGGTGGTTTTTTTTTGTTTTTTTTTTTCTTGTTTTTTAGTTTTTTTGTTTTTGTTTTTTGTACACCTTGCAGAGACTCAGAAGTGATAGGGGGAAATGCCCAAGGCAAATAGTCTCCAAGTGGATATTTACACAATGTGAATTAACTGTACCATAGATACCCAGAGAAAATGAACATTTTCTTATGTTGTTATGAAATCAAATAAACATGATATAGCTCCATCATACGTAAAACCTGTAAGACCCCATCCCAAGCCTAAGTAAAAAGTAAACCCCATGTTCCCTGACCCATTCACCCATTATCTTCCTGTTACACAGAATAAATGTTTAGATTACTCCCTCCCACCCTCAAATAAAGTGCGCAGTCCATGGCAGACCATAGAATAATGCAACAGGAAAGCCCCTTTTTGTGTATTATTATTTAAAAATAAAATACAAACAACTAAAATCAAACAAAGACTGAAGAGAACTCAAGAGATTCTCTGCAACCTGCAGAAAGAGAAGAAGCGAGAAGAGGCCCTGCGTGACTGTCCCTTGCATTAATACACATAGCCTTCGTTGTAGGGGTGGGGGTTGCAGCAGCCCCCTTCAGGCATGTAGGCCATGCTCTCGTCAAAGTGAGACAGAGGCACCGTGTCCTCTTCATTGATGTGACGTTCCATGTCTGTCTTCAGCAGTGGGCGCTGATTATCTGGGAAGGCCATGGAGAACAGAGCTTCCGGATCGCACACAAATTTGTAGACATATCTCTCTCCGGCCACCTGATGAAAACAGGGAAGAGAAAAACCCATCCTTATGTATGTTGAGGGATGTTAACTAAGCATACCTGGGTGATCATGTCATGATACATAGAAACAGTGAATCGCTATGTGGTACACTAAAGCAGACATAAGTTTTTATGTCTATTAACTTCAGAAGAACCACAATTTTCATCATCCCCATATGGGAAAGAGCAGGGAAAGAAAAGAACAAAAACATGGTTTAATATGTCAGAAAGCAGCCAAATGTTAGCAGATATCCATAAAAGGAAAAAAAAAATGCCCTTACTTTGTGGAATAAACTTCAGTTCAATAGAAGGATTTGCGACCTTGAGTAATGACTGACCTTGAGTAATAATTATATTAATTCCAGGCACAGCTAGAAAGCTTAGTAGTTTGGTCGTTTTACTATAAAGGTAAATTTACACTGTTATCTGTGTGTGTGGGGGGGGAGGATATCAATGATTTCATGCAGGCATCTCACATTGAATTTTTTTTTCCTTTTTTTGCTTTTTGCTTTAAATTGTAATATATTTATTAAAAAAAAAAAAACTGGACCTTTAAGGTGAGTGTCTCCCTCTTAATATTACATTTCTGAAACTGTAGAAAACCTAAACTTCCAAATCTTAAAAGAAAAATGTTCTGGGTTCCTAATAAGGTTAGACTATGACTCACTGGTTCACAGGGTGAACTGGTTTGTTTCTTTTTTTCTTTTCTTTCTTTTTTTTTTTTTTTGGCATTGTGTATTCTCATCTAAAAAAACAAAAGATGCATAGCCTTATTTAAATGAAAGATGGATCAAGAGGACAGCATTATCCTGGATACATCACTTTTAAAAATGAAGGCAAGATGCATTAGACAGAAGTTAAGGATGTGTGTAAAGTGTCAAATTGAAGTAAGAGGTGTAAAAAAGTGAAGGGAATTTAAAATATACAATGCATAGGGAGGAAATGAGAAAAAGAAATGTGACAGCTGCCTGAAATAAAGGAGAAGTAGCATAATTTGTAGGGAATGACATGTCCCAACCTTAAATTTTGAAGACTAATGTTTCTCTAGGAAATTATAAACAATTGAGTGAAACAAATATGCAAACCCCCCCTCCATTAATAGATAAAACTGAGGCTCTCAAAAAAGCAGGGGTGGGTTGGGGGTGGAGAGTGGCAGGGGGTGTGTGTATGAACACAATTCTTTGTATAGACATTGAGGTAAATCTTCACGTATATGAAGAGATTAGTAATTTTAGAAAGTTGAAAATTATTCAATACCTCTCAGTTCCAATGTATCAAAAAAAAAAAAAAAAGGGGACTGCTCGTTGCTTTGTGTAGAAGGAGAATGTTAAGTTCCTGGTTTATAAACTATCTGTACATGTTTGGAAAATAAGAATCAACCACCAAAGAGTGCTACTCTTCTGGACTCAAGATTTAGAACACTGTTTTGTCCTGGATGTTTTACCTTGTAAGAGGAACCAATTTAGAGATCCCAAATAATCCGAATATTCCTAGGTTTGAAAACAGTGAACACTTAGACATGTTTCTTAAATCAGTCCTCAGTTCCCCTTTTTTAGGAAACAGAAGTGGGAACGGCTCCTTTGAAAGCCTCCTGTAAAACTGAAATGGAAGTCTCCAGTACATTGCAAGGCAAACAGAAAAGCTGGTGTAAATTTATTTACTTTAGGCCCTTATAAAAAGGAAATTAAGTTCATGAAGGAGAAACTGCCATAAAAGTAAAAACGTGCAAATCAGAAACAAAACTAAGACATAAAATCCTAGTTTTCCTTTTTTTCTTTTTTCAAAGCATTTTGAGAAAAAAAAAAAATAAATGGCTTGCATACTTTAGAGCATTTAATAATCTGCTTTGTTTTGTTTGGAGCTGCAAAAAAAGAGGTATTTGCTTTAGGCTACTGGTAGCTTTTTTATCCAACCTGTTGCTATTGGTTATAATTAGAAAGGATTTCATATATCACTGTGGGGAATTAAAATGTACAGCATCCAGTCAAGATTATAAAATCTCTTAAGGAGTCTGTCTTAACTCACAGCTTCCTACTATTTTTCTTACAAAAAAAATTTTGGAACTACTACTCTATTTATTGAACTATGTTAAATGTCATGGACTTTAGAACAAGGGCTGATAATTACCAAGGGAGATACTGTCTTTCATTATTAGTAATACAATTACAATCTAGAAAATGCTGTACATTAAATATACCCAAACCACAATGCTGAGATAGATAAAATGCGAATTTTACAGGAGAAATGAATCAGAATTTAACAAGCAAAGCAAGTATCTTTTGAACTGTGCTTTGAAAGATTAGATATTTAAATTATGTTAACTTTTTAAATCTCAGAAGTAACATAAAAAACTGGCAGAAAGTTAAAAATTATACATTAAATCAAAAGAAATAATGATTTATCATTATATCATCCACAAATAACTACTGTTAAAATATGTGCATAGATTTCTCTAGGCATTCCTAAGTTTTGAAAGAGAAGGTCACACATCCACACTCTTAAAAGCCAAATTCCATCATTTCTTATCTCTTTCAGAACTACTGAAATAAGCAGGGTTTTTCTACATGTTTAGATCCATTTGATTATTTTTATTTCAATTTCTAATCTTTCCATTTAATTGTCCCGAATATATACCACATACATACATAATTTAAGTTTATAAACAAGTGTGGACGTATATAAACATTTCCCCTACACATTGAAATATAAAATTGTACATCATAGGTTGTTTTTATTTTTTAACTTTTTTATTTTTTTAAGGACAGCATACTTTCCCTCTGAGGGATTCTGTTAGAATTTGCTTTACCATTAGAATGGTACCAATGTCAGGTAAAATCACAAGGCAAGACACTGTACAGAGGGAACGCTATCTATCAGTGATAGCTATGAGGGAGTCACAGGTGTGGTCAAATGGCAGCAAGTAAAATGGCTCCACACATATGAAGAAAGGGAGTAAATATGTCTGTAAAGATTGTAAAAAGCCTTCCTTTTTTTGTGCTAGTTAGAAGTAGATTTCAATTTTGTGTGTTTCACCATGAAACAACCTATGCTTTCTTTATTATGCAGCAACACCCCAAAAGTTCTGTCGCATACAGACATTTTTCTAGTCTATATTAGCTGATACATAAATAGTTGCAAATAGTTTACCTTATTTTATTATATTTTATTTTAACAACATCAGCTTTATGAAGTAAGAACACCACCATTTAGCAAGAGAGGAAGCTGTTCCAAAAGGTGATCCACTGAGAAGGCGGCATGCAAACCTCAATCCTGCCTGCATTTTCTTTGACAGCTGCTCCCCGCCCCCCCCCACCACCACTGCCCAGGGGAACTGAGCACCTACGGCGCCAGCCCCCTCCACGGGTCCCAAATCAGCTAGATGGTGACGGAAATGGAAGGAATGGAACACGTTGGAAAGGATTTGGCTGCAAATGGGATAGGTGGGTGAGGAGGAAGGGAGGAATTAAAAAATGACCCTGGGGATGAGGTGGAGAGGACAGTGGGGCAGGTAGGTAAGGCTTATGTCCTGAAGGTGAGATTCTGGGAAATAGGAAATGAGTAATGAACTCAGTTTTATCTCTCAAGATCTTGGGCATTCTAACTCCTGAGGCCGAAAGCTCCAGAGCACGGAATCTGTTTGGTCTAAAAACTCAAAAATGCTGTTTCCTCCATTCTAGTACATTTCACACAGCTACTGGTCTAGTTTTTCTTGGCATAACTCTAGTGGTATAAAAATAGGCCACCATCTGCAATATATACCTATGTTTGTGTCCACCCGATGAACAAAGGAAGCAAACTAAAACAGTAATGTTCACAAGCGATAAATCATAAACTCAGTTCACAGTGTAGACAGCTGGAATGAACAAACACGTAAGACTGAAGGAGTAACAATAACAAATATCCGATGTTTTTTCTTTATTCATTACCTTCTTCAAGAATTTTATATTTTGTTCAACGTGTATTCCATTTGTTTTATCTTAACTTTTTAAAAAGCCACCTTCAAATATTAAGAGAAGCCCGTGTGAAATAAAATACATGTAACGTAACTTCATTTACCAATGAAATAATATCAAATTGTGATTTTTAGCAAATGGTTTTTAGGTAGCTAAGCTGTCAACCAGCAAAACCAGGCAAGACTTCAGGCAAGAAGAAAAGATTTTGCAGGAGAACAAGGAAATGTTCTGAATGTTTTAAGAATCAGGACAAGGAGGGTGAAAGTAAGAATTCAGATAGTATTGGAATCCATAAACAAAAGCATTTTAAAATTATGTAATTGTGGAGAATGCAGCAGACTATTGACAACTTTGGGAATATATGTAATTATTAGTACTGAAACATTTTTTACCAAATACGGTAAAGTTGGGACTTCCAGAAAGTCTACTTGTTTCTGTAAGATATTATTACATAGGTCTATAATACCCATGAATTTATAACTAGAAAGGCTTGTCATACCAAAACCAAGAGCTAAGCATATGTTAAAATGAGTGAAAACCTTGCTTCAGCAATGCAATGATACGTGGCTTTTAAAGTATGACATGCAGATTAATGTGCAACATTTCAATGAATTTTAATGCTGTTGTAGCTGCTCACCTTTTGCATGATTCCTTTCTCATAATAATAGCGAAGCGAACGGCTAAGTTTATCATAGTTCATAGCTGGCCTGTTTTTCTGAATGCCCCAACGCCGGGCCACCTGCCACCAATACAGAATGACATTGTAGTGTTAAGTATTACCTTATCAAGATATTTCATAAAACATTAGTGAATTAATCCGTTACTTCCAAATCTTCCAAACACATCCAAATTAAAGACAGAAGTAAAGAGGCAAAAGCTATCATGGTCTGAATTTTCCTGCGTCCTGGTTTGCTTTTAAACTGGGCGTGCAGTGATCATTCTGAAACTTCACAATAGAATTCTTTGTCACTATTGTTTTGGATACAAAATTAAATGGAAATAAGGGGATGTGTTTACAATGGGAATGAACAGGCTGCAATTCACCAAAATGAGGCAAGTTTCCCGTTCTGAGATATACTGCCTCTTTTCTCCTTCTTAGTTTTTCTGATAAAACCTATAGGCCAAGAACAGCTTAGCAATCTCTTTGTAAAGGTGTTTTCTGAGATGATGATTAACTAGAGAAAAAAATATCCTGTTTGAGACCAAAGAATGAACAAGCGGCATTGTATGTGTAGCAAAGGAAACAGTATACAAATTCATAAACTGAACTGCAAATAATTTTTATTGCCCGAAGCAGCATCAGAATAAAACTGTAACCAATACTGAACTGGGGAATTAAGCATTCATTTAGAGAACAGTAATTGGATACTAAAAATAAGAAGGAAGTGGAAAAGGTCACCAAGAACACGAGTCCACAAACAAAAATCTCTAAAGCAGAATGTCCACTTTGTGGTTTGGTGAAAAAAATCTCAGAGCTTCTGAGGCGGTGGGTTTGGAGGAGCAACTTAACTGGCACAGCGGAATTTTTCAAGGAAACCTCCCTCCTCGATTATACGTGCCCCCTCCCCCAACCCGGGGCTGCCTGAACTGAACCGAGTAGCCTGCTTTCACCACCGCGGCTAAATTCAGGTTCTCCGGAATTTCCATATTTCATTCGTCTGAGCAGAAACTGCAGCTGTCATGCATACCTAGGCAACCCCAAGAAAAAATTATCTAATAGGGTTAGTGTTCTCCTTCATTTCTCTGAAATTCCAGGTTGCTGCTGTGTCACATAGCCTAAAATAGATTGCTTTTCAGAGAGAGCATTCCGTCGCTCTCCACTTTATTAGCAATAACCTTTCCCCGGGGTTTGTTTTTTTCTGTCAAAAATACTGATCCTTGCTCTTTTCTCCCTCCCTAATTTGTATTTCCTGAATGAGGATACAGTGTAATTTAGCCCCCATGCATCAGTACAGCAGAGATGTGACGTAACAGGAACACGACTATACATCCAGTCACCGCAGCAGGCAGCTCTGAATTTTCCAGAGATAAAGTTCATTTTAATGTAAGTGTTTGAAGCAGTAGTGCAGGGGGAGGGTGGCAATAAGAAATGAAAGCCATACTATCGAAACAAAATGTCTTTTGAAGAACCTAACAATGGGCATCAGCAAATCTTTCGTAGATTAGGCAACTGAACAGCACGCTAACCTGGAAGGGCCATGGAAATAAACTCCTAATATTTCCTTAAATTAAACACCAGTTTCTGATACCTTTCCTTTTTTTTTTTTTTAAAGAGTTTATATATTTATTTGACAGACAGAGATCACAAGTAGGCAGAGAGGCAGGCAGAGAGAGAGAGGGGGGAAGCAGGCCCCCACTGAGCAGAGAGCCCAATGCGGGTCTCGATCCCAGGACCCTGAGATCTTGACCTGAGCCGAAGGCAGAGGCTTTAACCCACTGAGCCACCCAGGCGCTCCCGAATACCTTTTCATTTATAAATGGTTCTCCTCTAGAAAGTGACTAGGGTGCACCTAGAAAGTAAAATACTTGCAACCAACTTTAAGACAACCCTGTGTAGGGTGCCTGGGTGGCTCAGTTGTTAAGCATCTGCCTTCTGCTGAGCTCATGACCCCAGGGTGTTGGGATCAAGCCCTGCATGGGGCTCCCTGCTCAGCGGAGAGTCTGCTTCTCCCACTGCCTCTCCCCCCGCTTGTGCATGCTCTCTCTCTTGTAAAAATAAATGAACAAATATTTAAAAAAAAAAAGACAACCCAGTGGAAGTCTCTAGGGAGGGAACGAAGATTTTTTTGAGACCATAAGGAGTCTGACTTTTAGGATGCCAGTTAATTCTAAGCACAACTGGGTATTATTAGACATTTTTAAAGAATAGAATATATTCTTAGAGCTATTTGGCTTCAATCAATGTCACCTGCATCATAAAGGGAAGTGGGACACACCAAAATGCCTATGAGATGCAGACAAGTTATGCAAGGTAAGTTCTAGAGATGTACTCTACCACAGCATGCCCACAGTTAACAATACTGTCTTGGACACCTAAAAATTTGAGAAGAGGGCAGATCCCATGTTAAATGTTTTTACCACAATAATAAAAAAGATTGAAACTTAAAGTCAACAGATGATACAATTAATTTCCAGGATAGGTTAGGCCACCTACCAACTGAGAAAGCCCATTCAGCCCTCATGTGTGAGCTACCCATCACTGCTATCTCCTGCACCGCTAAAAGCCAAGGCAACATGCTCAGCATGGAGTGGGTGTGGTGGTGGAACACTTCCAGTGACTTCCTAGATACCCCTTCAAGTGAAAACTTGGACTATTAGTGAGGAAACTGAAAAGGTGCCTACACTATAAAAATCTCTGTTGGGGCACCTGGGTGGCACAGTCGATTAAGCAGTTAAGAGTCAAACTCTTGGTTGCAACTCAGGTCATGATCTCAAGGTCATGGGATCGAATCCCATGTTGGACTCTGGCTCAGCATGGAGTCTGCTTGTCCCTCTCCCTCTGCTCCTCGCCCCCCCCCACACTCTCTCAAATACATGAATAAATAAAATCTTTTTAAAAAAATTACTCCCACTGTCAAATGAATTAAGTTGGAAAATATAACAGTTCAAGCATTAACTGATTTTTAAAAATCCTGTTTGAATACCCAACATAAACCTGGAGACCACAATCAGGTCCTGGTTATCAGACTTCCTGGTAATTCTTCTAGCTCATCAAGTTTGAATATCTTTGAAAGACTTCTTCTCTGAGTCCTAGAGATGCTTAGCTATGTTAATAATTGTTCCCTGAGACAATTCCCTAGGATCCATGATTAATGTGAAAATAACATTTCATTATCTCAAATATCTCAAAAAGAGAGATGTTAAGGAGCACGTGCTGGCTAATGTTACCCAAACACACTGAGTAGATAATCAGCACAGGACGACAGTCTCACACAATATTATTTTAAACTGCAAAATGAAATAGAAAGAAATGAGCCAACGCGTTATCTCTTATAAGGTCGGCTTCTGAGCACCTTCCAGGAGCTGTGCTGACAGAGACCTTCAAAGAGCTCCTGTGTGGTACAACAAGGAGGGTGACGGTGGGCCACAGAGGGTGAAGAAACTTCACAAAGACTTTCCAAAGAATAAATTTAAATGGCACAGCCACTGCCTAATGGAAGCCATTACAACGGTGAGCAGAGCGGCATTAGAAATGTGATGTTTCATTTTGAACAAAAGCCTTAGAAGGCTTAGTACTCACTGAACAATCACTGAATTAGTCACTCTTTGGAAATGGTCTACTAACTCTGAATCGCCTGGCCCTTTTTTACTTTATAAGTCTTCCACAGAAAAGGAATCTAAATGTCTGTCATTCTGAACAGATATAACAGCATGTCTTTCCAGCATTTAAAAATCATCGAAATTCAGAACCTGATGAAGTTAATGGACATCCGTTCAAGTCTTCTCTTCTACTTATTCAACCTGATCACCATGAAAGTCAACAATTGCTAAATAAAGAAGTTAATTACGCTCATAAGGATTTTCTTCTTCCGAGATCAATAATGACCAACATAATTCCGTACTGTTTCCATCTTAACAAATATATGGCAAAAACGAAAAGTCCTGTTTCTGCTCACTTCATGTTAGCCATAGGTAAAGGGGAATGACTGACATAAATTCCCACTGAAGGTCCTCAGTTCTAGGCGGAACAACTCTTGCAGTGATTATGAACATGGCGGAGAGCACACACTGCTATCATCTTAAAAGGTCTTCGAGTTACTTTACAGTAAGTGTTTCCAGTCTCCCTTTGCTAGTGCGTCACATTTTTATGGGTCTTTCACTTACATCATTTAAGTACATCTACATAAAAATAAATTTCCTTTGACAAATTAAGCCTTAGACAATTCTAGATATGGATATTTTCAAATTCTGATATTGAGCCCTCTGTGCCTGGGTGTTTGGTTAGGGTATTGGAAATGCAAAGCTAACCCTCTAGACTACTAGTGTACTGATAGAATCTGAAGTAGACAAAACTATGCTAACTAGTTCTTAGGTCCAACTTCTTTTAATACAAATTTAAATCAGATCATCCCTTTAATAAGAAAGATGACTTATTTTCTGGATCTCAAACAAGGACATGTTATCTGATTATGAATGAATGTTCAGAGGGCAGGAACTTTAAGATGTATGGGCCCATTAGCCCAGAGTGTAGATGTCCAGTCTATACTAATCTAAACTAATCACTTTGGGTTCAAAAATAGCTAGATATCTTCCTAGATTTTACATGTTTTTGAGGCATTTAGACCCTACAGCCAATATAAGCGGGCACAGGCATGTTAATTGAAAGTCATCCAGGGGTGCCTGGATGACTTGGCTTGGCTCAGTGGGTCAAGCATCTGCCTTCGGCTCAGGTCATGGTCCCAGGGTCCTAGGATTGAGTCCCGCATCAGGCTCCTTGCTTGGGGCGCGGGGGGTGTCTGCTTCTTCCACTGCCTGCCACTCCCCCACTTATGTGCACTCTTTCTCTCTCCGACAAATAAATAAATAAAATCTTAAAAAAAGAAAAAGTCATCCATTGCTTTCTTGACTAATGTAAACTAAAGTCAATTTTAATAGTAGCCGAGAAAGCACCTTTAGTAAGATTCAAACATTTTATATAAAAGTCACCTTTCTATAGAAATCCAAAATGCTACTGCTGGGTTATGCTGTAATAATAACAGTAGTTTTCATCCTCAAGCTAGACCTGGAGAGAATGAAAATTGAACTGAGAAGTTCTTCAGGAAAATACTCCATTTGCATGTACATAAGGGTCATGTTCTTTTCTTCTCTTAAATGAAGACTCTTTTTTTCTTTTGCACACCTTCTAATTCAGAAGGTTTCTCTAATGTTTTAAAATTTTTTAAAAATACATTTTCAGCATAGTAATCAATATATGTTTCGTTATATTGTGATATATCCAATTTTCCCAATAAAAATCTACTAAACCCACCTCTTCAGGCTCAATCAGTTTAAATTCCATGCCTCGCCCAGTCCAGGCAATGAAATGAGAATTTGAAGGATCATCCAGAAGAGCCACCAAAAACTGCCAGAGCTGAAGGGATCCCCGCCGCTGGTATGTGGGTCCTTCCCGATACATTCCTGGCTCCTGTTTGATGTCTCCTACATGGAAAAATGTTGAAGTTTCTATTATTAGCAATATTATGACATTTCCCTAAAATTTACATTAAACCAATCATGAAAATGGTTAAACCACAACCAATTTATGGGTTTCTGTGAAATATAACATCACCACTTTAAATAGGGCTTTAAAACATTTAAGGATTTTATGTAAATCAAGAACCTGTACAAATTTACAAACAACTATATGTAACATGTCAGGGTCAAAATAAATGTAAACAGGTGTAGAGTAAATCCACGAATGTCATTTTCTTATTAAAATTTTGTAAAACTATCTCTTTGTTTTCACAATCATTTATCTAAAAACAATATCATCCAATCCCACTTCCTCTTGTTTTTTATTGTTAATGACTTTATTCCCTGCTCTAAGAAACATAGAAGAGAAAGTAATCAATTCGAAGCTCTGGGCATTTTATTTGTACAAATTCTGCAAACTATAATTTGCAATGCCACATGGAAAAAAATTGCAAATTTTATTGCAAATATTTCAAAGCAAATTTACTCTTTTATTTATTCATTTACTTATTTTCACCAATTTATTTATTTATATGAGAGAGAAAAAGAGCAGGGGGAGAGGTAGAGGGAAAGGCAGAGAATCCCACCCAGACTCACGCTGAGCCCGATGTGGGACTTGATCCCACGACCCTGAGATCACATCCTGAGCCAGAATCAAGAGTTGGACTCAACTGATAGAGCCACCCATGTGTCCCACCTCAAAGGAAATTTATTCTTAAACTCTGAGTTAAGTAATCTATATATTATATAAATTAGTAAAATCTCTTAATAATTCAGGGCATATTAGATTATTATTATACCATCTTTTCCCCACACCTTCATACTGGCACTACCACTTCCTTAACTGGCAGGAATAAAAATTCATTTTTCTTTATCTCTTCTTTGCATTTCAGTCATGTGAATTTAGCTTGCAAGTCTTTTTCTCAAGTGCAATCTAAAAACACATATACAGGCGTTTTCTGTAAATCTATATTTTTAATCAAGAAAGGCTGGTTTGTGTTATTTATCTGTTATTTAAACATAGTGTAAAAACCTATTAAGTAGATTATAGCAATAAGGGAGTTACTGTTGTAATTCTTCTGGTATAAATCTGGTTATCTTGTTTTTACCAAACAAACAAAAACTCAGTCATAACTCCTGATTATTTACATCTACCTCTAGCCAACCATCCCCCAAAATATGTGGAATTGGTCACACTGGGGATAAAATGTCTAGGGCCCTACACACATATCATTGTTATGGCACGAATTTTTCTTCTCCACTCTAGAAACAATTCAGAGAGAATATAATCAACCCAATCTATTCACAGTAAGTGTGAATTATAAAACAAACCAAATCAGAGGCTTTCTTAAACCTTTCCTTTGGTTAACATACATATACCTCTTAAAATAATTACAGAAAGAATACTTTAAAAACCACAACCAAAATAAAATTATTCAGTCACTAGCTACTAGAAATCATCATGTCATTTTGTTCTAAGCTAGATATCACAGCAGTGTCTCTTCATACTGATGTCGATGACAGTTTTATTTATCTTAGTTTTTCCTTCTGAGGCTTAACAAATTTCTACATGGGGGTAACTGAGCAATTATGCAGAGTGAGTGAAACTCTGTCAAATTCTATAATCTCTAGATTGCTTCTGCCTGTAAATGTGATGGACTATACCAGCCTTCTCAATGAAAAAATAACCCTTTGCTTTTCTATTCCCTTGGTCTCTATTTCTCATAAAATAAAAAAACTAATACTATCTTCCAAAAAACAAGTCTCGGCATACAAAACTGAAGAATATTTCAAAGTCAAAGGGAATAAGTAATCAAGACAGATTGCTTCTCTAGACATTAGTGTGACTTAGGCCCATTAGATTATATCATAACCCTATTGGTAGTTACGAGCTGATTTTACTTCCTTATATGCCCATCCTGGTAATCAAAATGGCTTATAATGTTAAGCTCACTGAAAATGAAAAACAAAACAAAAAACTGATGGAGGTCACTCCACAGAGGGAAGGCTTTATGCTTTGTCTTAAGAGAAAAGGCTGTATTTTAAGACTTGTGACGCTTGGCTGATCGCGTCACAAACCACACTGGCGCTCCAAGCTTAAAACTAACATCTATTTGGAATAAGGCCAAAAAAGTGACTCCGACTAGAGCTTAACCCTGTGACCTTGAATGAATTTAGCCATTTAAAGGAAGACTCAGGAAACAGATATTCCCCAAATTATCATTCTTTCAGAGAAGGACCAGAGTAGCAAAAACCTCAGGAACAGAAGAGTCTTCAAGAAACTAATGAAAGGTGAAGAAGCTAAGTAAGCATGTACTTTGCTGTTTAAATAATGACAATTAGGGGCACCTCGGTGGCTCAGTGGGTTAAAGCCTCTGCCTTTAGCTCAGTTCAAGATCTCAGGCTCCTGGGATCGAGCCCCGCATCAGGCTCTCTGCTCAGCGGGGAGCTTGCTTCCCCCTCTCTCTCTGCCTGCCTCTCTGCCTACTTGTGATCTCTGTCAAATAAATAAATAAATAAATAAATATATTTTAAAAAAAAATAATGACAATTAAAAACTTCTGACAGCTACGAATTCATTACAGCCATGATCCCCAAAGTTTGTGCAATCAGCTAATCAGAGGGTCCCTGCTCATTTCCTGTTAGACAATCAAAGCAGGAAATAGGGAGACCACTCTGAAGAACCACTAAATCAATTAACTGTTCACTTTCCCTGAAGCTTCCTCATAGATGCTGACTTCTGCCACTTTAGTCAAGAGAGGAGAAAAAAAAAAAAAGTCTATCTAACTTGACACTCATTTTTAAAGGCTGGGACCTTTTCACTGCAAAAGTGAGGAATATTAAAAAGCTAATGCTTTCCTAACTCCATCTTAAGCAATTACAAAGTAACTGCACATTAGTAATGAACATCTTCCCAGGGGAAAAAAAAAAGGAAAAACTCCAAAAGAAGGACTAACGATCACTAACTAAATGGGCAGCTATGTTGTTCCTGTGTTCGATAATGCATCTTTTCTCAAATAATAAAAGAGAAGCTGTATTAGTCATCCGTGTATCCACACTTGCATGCTTTCTGTTCTGCTTTGTTAATTACGGGATCAGCTTTCAATAAATCTCAAATAAGCTGCATGTGCTCAGCAGGGCAATGGAAAGACACCTCATACTCTACACAAAGCTCAGCAAGAACGATACTCTCTAATTCTGTCTTTAAAATGAGATCTCAAGGGTGCCTGTGTGGCTCAGCCGTTAAGCAGCTACCTTCGGCTCAGGTCATGATGCCAGGGTCCTGGGATCGAGCCCCACGTGGGGCTCCCTGCTCAGCAGGGAGCCTGCTTTTCCCTCTCCCCCTGTTTGTGTTCCTTCTCTCACTCTCTGTCAATAAATAAATAAAATCTTAAAAAAATAAAATAAATAAAAATGAGATCTCTCACAGGACAAAAAAAAAAAAGCTTCTGAATAGGGGAAGAAAGGGAGAATTTATAACAGGTAAAGTTCAGCAAGAGTTGAATGCATTATAAGTGATGTGCATAGAAATCTTCAAGTTGGGGGGTGCCCGGGTGGCTGAGTCATTAAGCGTCTGGCTTCGGCTCAGGTCATGATTGAGGGGTCCTGGGATCGAGCCCTGCATCAGGCTCCCTGCTCAGTGGGAAGCCTGCTTCTCCCTCTTCCACTCCCCCTGCTTGTGTTCCCTCTCTTGCTGTGTCTCTCTCTATCAAATAAATAAAAATCTTAAAAAAAAAAAAAGAAAGAAAGAAAGAAAGAAAGAAAGAAAGAAAGAAAGAAAGAAAGAAACCTTCAAGCAGGAATGTCAACTGTTTTCAGAAGAGTCGAGGGTGATCTCTCCACTCCCTCCTAAAAAAATATCGAACCTGCAGCACAATGAGAAACCTACCATCAAATTTCTCTGGGACAACACAGGTGTCATCGTAAAACTGCCTGGGGCCCTTCTCAAACATACAGCCTGTGGGAGCAAATAGGATACATTTATTCGTGATACAAATGAAGCTCACAAGCAACTTAAAATATAGCCATTAACACAAAAATTGGGGTAGAAAAGGACTCTGCCATTTTTCAGCTCTGTGACCTTAAGCACAATACGTAGCCTCTGTGTCTCTGTTTCCTTACCTGTAAAATGGAATGATAATAAATCACCTATCTTAAAGGGATTGTTGTGAGGATTAACTGATTTAATATACAGAAGTTTAGAACAGTACCTGGCACATAGTGATAGATGACATTAGATAGGGGTATTATTAGTACGCCAAGCACAGAGCAGGTAAATGCTGGCAAATATAGAAATTACAATATATCATCTCCTTTTTCATTTTCTTCCAAGTTTTGTTATTCGTGAGACAGGAGGAAAATCAAGATGAGTTACTTATATTTACCTTACACCGTACCCTGATAAACTCAAACACATTCAGTTTCCCTCTTACTTTCCTGGAGAAATACTCAGCTAGGCTAGCCTCATGTTTTCATCTTCAACAGCCAAAACAGTTTTACATTTTCTTTTTAACTTTCCTTTTTATCCTGTAACAAAACTAAGTCCACAGGAAAAATGCAAAATAAATCAACAGCTTTTACACTCTTTTTCTCCCGCATACATCCTTGACTATGACCTTCACTGAACTGCTGTCGTCTTTAATCACCAGTAAGAAAGTTCATGTTTTTTAGTCACAGTTTTCTTTCCTAGAGGTACTGGTCTCTACGGTGAGCACATAATATTCCCAATAGCAGTGACAATAATTACAGTGGATTTCTGCTAAATTTTTGGTCCCAAATATTCTGGATTGACCAGATTATACTCTTCTTTAAACATCAGCATTTACTTCTATCAGTATCACTCATATGAACCAGTATTAGACCTAACCTAAAAAGATGGACCTATGTCATCCTACCGAAGACACAGAACACTAATGTCATGAACCATGCACATATTTCCAGAAACACCTTAATAGGTAATTTATCTAGAGAAGATTCTTTTTATCCATTACTTTGCAGGTATCAAAGTCCATTAGACCAAAGCTTTCCCACCATGGTTACTGTGAACACATCCACAATCAAAACTCCTGTAGGCCTCTTATGTGAAATCCCATTCTTAACAATCATTTGTCTAAAAATGAAAAATCCAGGATATATAAAGGCAAATATATTTAAATCTACTCTCTTTTATTTTAAAACACAGACTTAGTTCTGGGGCGCCTGGGTGGCTCAGTGGGTTGAGCCTCTGCCTTCAGCTCGGGTCATGATCTCGGGGTCCTGAGATCGAGTCCCACATCGGGCTCTCTGCTCTGCAGGGAGCCAGCTTCCTCCTCTCTCTCTCTGCTTGCCTCTCTGCCCACTTGTGATCTCTGTCAAATAAATAAAATCTTAAAAAAAAAAAAACAACACAGACTTAGTTCTTAAAGCAAAACTGAAATTCCTCGAAGATTCATTTCAGTATAGAGTAGTAAGGTAGGCTAATCTCTAAAGCACATGTTCTATTTTAAAAGGATGTGGTTGTTGGCAAAAAAAAAAAAAAAAACCACCACACAGAAATCCACTTTTCAGCTGTTTATACACACATGACTCATGTTAACAACCAAATTCAAGATAACATGACCTGAAACATCTTCCTTTTACTTTAAAAAGATAAAGTTTTAAAACAGTGGTTTAGGGAACAACAGTGATTTTTCCCATAAAACATAATGATTAATGAAATTACTGGATCTTTGGTATGTATGATAATGTTGACCATATTTACAAAGAATTTCAATAACAGAAAACTTAACTTCTGTTCTGCTGGGATGAGCCAGGAAGCCTTCTTGCCTCATATAAATGGAGTGGCAGCTAGGCACTTCTGAAAGAAGAAACAACATCAGTCAGAGAAGTTTGGAGCTGAAAAATGTGCTGTTACCAATAGACAAGAGTGCAGACAGGAAAATAAGAAAAACTGACATGAGTCTCCATGAGGGGAGCTTCCAACTATAGTTAACATTTCAAGCAGGGCCCACACAGGAAATGGAAAAACAAGGGGCACCGGGCTGGCTCAGTCAGTTAAGTGTCCGACTTTAATTTCAGCTGAGGTCATGATCTCAGGGTTGTAAGATCGAGCCCTGCATTGGGTTCCAAGCTCAGCACAGAATCTGCTTGACATTCTCCCCCTCTGCCCCTCTCCCAGCTATAGCACACTCTCTCATTTTCTAAAATAAATAAATAAATAAATCTTAAAAAAAAAAAAAAAGAAAGAAAAGAAAAGAAAGGGAAAAATAAGAAGCATATCAGGGCAGACACAGATTCTCTCCAAAAGGCTTGTAAATTCAAAGTTTTACCCACATTTACTGAAAGATGGCTCTCCTGTAACCCCACATGAATGTGAAAGTGACCTTGAAACAAATGGGTGTCATGAGTAAAGCTACATTTGGGGCAATTACGGGATAACTTTGTATATCCTTGGTGTTCAAAGCAAAGATCAACAAAGATTCGGTCATGGTTTATTTCATGAACACTGGTAGAAATTATTACGAAATGACAAAATTGCCACATCTCTTAAAATTACTCCAGCCTTTTAAGGTTATTGTTATTTTCACCCCCAGAAAAAAGTATGATTGCCTTTTTATTTTGTTAAGCACACAGGTCATAATCAAAACAAATGGGGCTATAAAACAGAAATCCAACAATTTCATAGCAAACACATGATGACGTTAGGAGTAAGGCCTTGCCTACCTGACCAAGTTAACTCATCACTGAGAAAATAAACCTGGTTAATGGTTAAACTTGAGTCACAGTGATGGCTGTGTATTTAACGTGTTTAGCACCTTAGATAAAGGGAAAAGGGCAGACACACAGATTAGGAGACAAAAGATTAAAATTTGAGTCCTTAACTTATTACTAATAAACCTAAATGACTTTAGGTAAGCCATTCTGTATCTAAGCTTATATAAAATAAAGTGTCAGATCAGATATCATCTAAAATCTATTATAGGCTCAAGTTCTTAGATTCTGAATAGAATGTCACTCACAGTGACCAGAGCCTGATTTCTGCTGAAGCCACTGAAACCCCAGGAAGGACCCTCCACTTACAGCAATCCCTCCCGATGCCCTGCACATTTCGTAGAAGCTGTTTCTTTTTCTTTTTCTTTCAGAATATTCCCCAAATATTATGTTTTAGGTCCCATGAACTTGGGCCCAACCCTGTACAGAATATACACAGACTCTATAGGAAGGTATAATTATATGTGACTGAATTAATTCTATCCTCAGTATGTATACTCAAGTTTTTGAAACTTTAAACATATACAAAAATAAACTTATAAAAGAGAGGCAGGGCAGGGGTTCATGGGGGGAAGGGAGGGAAAAATGAAACAAGGTGGGGTGGAGAGGGAGACACACCATAAGAGACTCTTAATCTCAGGAAACAAACTGAGGGCTGCTGGAGGGGAGCAGGGGTAAGGGTTAGGGTGGCTGGGGGATGGTCACTGGTGCTATGTTGAGTGCTGTGAATTGGGTAAGACTGATGATTCACAGACCTGTACCCCTAAAATAAATAATACATTATATGTTAATAAAAAAATACATATGGCAAATGTCCTATTTAATATAAGATATGTCCTCCATTCTACCACTTGTAGCAAATACATGATTTCTGAACAAGTAACAAAGAACACTTAAATGAATTGGGAGCTAAAGACCCTCATGTCTTCTCAACTAACCATCCACAGACTTTCACGTTGTAACAGATAATTAGCACTATTTATCTGGCCTAAAGGCCATTCTTCCTTGGTCTGGAATGTTCCATTTTTAAAGTGTATCTGATTTTTTAAAAATTTGCCTGGTATTAATGTCGACCAAAATATGAGATAATTTTTCACAGAAAAAAAGTTTACATGGTTTTAGTAAAAAATAGCTTAATGGCGCTTCATAAGAGCTATAACACTTAAAAGTATGTAGAAATCAATAGCTTATGAGTTGAAAACAATATAAAACTCATTATCAAACATTTTAGAACACCATGCCTTCTTTATATTACATATGATCTGGTATATAATTCTGACCCTACATAAGACAGAGTTTATCTTGTTTCCTGATATCAGGAAACTTATAATGGGGTTGCACGGCAGTTGAACTTCTGGGTTACCGAAGAGCTAGCAATCCATTTTATCCGTACTTTTTAACCAGTGGTACTTCAAATTCATTTTTAATGTTATGTTGATTTATTGCCAGGCATAGGACCCTCCAAGCAGCTGAGCCTAGTAGGGACAGTGTTAATGACTCTGCCATCAGCTTAGCAGCTGTTTAGAGGTAAGAATTTCGTTGTACCAATGTTGACACCCTGCCACAAAATTCTTTTAGTGACTGCTACCCAGCTGGAGTATGGCTCTAAAAACAGCTGGCTGGCTCTGGAGGCGGCTAGAGGAAAACATAGAGATTAAACTCTATTATATATAAGTGTGACTAAATGTAGTCTTTCCTTCCCAGAGGGGGAGAATAAGAGGAGAAGAGGAAATTCAAGCGTTTATAAGAAACCCACCAGGCAAAGTCGAAGGAAGATCTTACAGAAGTACTCTAACATAATAGAAAATAAGCATGATCCTGGACATTTGACATCAAAGATCGAATGTGATGACCATTTCACTAATTCCCATGTATCTACTGACCTTGATGATTTGTTATTTCTTGTGCTAATTCTGTAATATTTTTAATAAATTCTATTTCTCAATATGGTAAAGTATAGTGATTTAAAATTCATAACAAAATAGTGATTTATAATGGGCTAACGCTAGAACCTCCATTACAGTTCCAGAAACCAAACTTGTGATCTAACTTCTAAGCAAAGCCATGAATGGCAATATAGGGGAAAAAAAATACATATATAAGAATATAATCGTGTTTTTAAACCATTCTTAATACTATTTATGATACTCTAGAGTAAATAAAATTAACATCTAGCTCTTGAAATTGAGACACTTAGCTAGCATTGTTTAAATCCAGTCTATCCTTAAAATCGGTATCCTTTATACAGTCCAGAGGAGCCTGAAAAAATATAGCTAAGGGGAGTTTATTCCCCTAAAGTAACTAAAGTCATGTTATCCTAAAGTGGTATCAGTTAATTTATGACTATCAGAGTGGGTCAGACTCTAATCAAATTGTAGAAACATTTCCAAAGTGATTATTCAATCAAATGACTAACATGGTTAATTAGGAGCCATAAACATTGCTCTGAAGTTCATCAAAGTAATGACTTGCCCAGAAAAATTACTGCTAATTAAATTGCCTGCTGCTTTCATTTCTACCTTATCTAATAAAAAATCCAACCAATGAAGTTTGGCAGTACATTTTAACTTTTGCTAAATGCTCAACTAAGAACCAAACTAGCTAAGCGGTGACTTCAAAGGCAAACGTTCTGTGGCAGGCATTGCACACACATGCATTCACGTTATTTCATGGAATAAAGCTCACAAAATTCAGCAACAATAACAGACTGCACTTTAACCTTTGCACAAATGTTACTCTGACAGCGTGTTTATACTGTTCTATTATGTGTCCGTAGCTTACAATGTTAGGGTCATGAGCACAGCACTACGATTACAAATGGGCTCCTCGCCTTCTAACAGACCTGGTTTTGAACCTTGGTTCTAGTATTTCATGAGAATATGAAATTTTTGGTAGTTATATAACATCTTCAACTCTCAACTTCCACATCTGTAAAATGGGAATAATATGTGATATCCTTCAAAGGGTTGGGGAGAAGGACCATAAGGACAACATTTCACTTAATGCCAACAGTGAGGATTCAATATATGGTACTTATCATTAATAACAGAAACTTTTTTAAAGATTTTTATTTATTTATTTGACAGACAGAGCTCACAAGTAGGCAGAGAGAGGCAGGCAGAGAAAGAGGAGGAAGCAGGCTCCCCGCTGAGCAGAGAGCCCGATGCGGGGCTTGATCCCAGGACCCTGAGATCATGACCTGAGCCGAAGGCAGAGGCTTTAACCCACCGAGCCACCCAGGCACCCCAGTAACAGAAGCTATTTTTAAGTGTCCCTCATGAGTGTTTAAAATAAGTAAACCACGGGTACTTTAAAAATAATTATGTCTTTATTTTTATATCTTTTAAGATTTTATTTATTTATTTGACAGAAAGAGAGATCACAAGTAGGCAGAGGAGCAGGCAGAGAGAGAGGGGGAAGCAGGTTCCCTGCTAAGCAGAGAGCCCTATACGGGGCTCGATCTCAGGATCCTGAGATCCTGACCTGAGCCGGAGGCAGAGGTTTAACCCACTGAGCCACCCAGGCACCCCTATTTTTATATCTTAATCTGATGTTCTTAAAACACTTACTGAGAAGGCTGAACCTATGGTATTTAAAACATATCGATTTAAAATTCATTATAAATTTACGATTTATCAGGTTTAAGCGAGAATCTCCATTACATTTTCAAAATATTTGGAGGTACTTCTTATGAGTTCTATTTACAATGTTATGCCCCAATATTTGCTGCTAAATGGCTTTGGTTTAAAAAGTTTTAAATTCAGGGGCGCCTCGGTGGCTCACTAGGTTAAGGGTCTGACTTTGGCTCAGGTCATGATCCCGGGTCCTGGAATGGAACTTGGTGTGTAACCCCATGTGGAGACCCACCTCAAGCCCCCACTGAGTCCTGTGCTCAGTGGGGAGCCTGCCTGTTCCCGTCTCTCTGCCACTCATGTTCCCTCTGTCTCTCTCAAATAAAAAAATAAAACATTTTAAATCCAATCTATAGTTTGAATTATGTAAATTTAAGGCAAAGGATTTTGTATTATTTTGAAACTTATGGATCAAAAAGCACTACAATGTGACACTTAGCATGGGCCCAGTCAG